AGCCAGATCCAGGGCAAAACAGTGACCACACGCTCCAGGAGTCCTGGCTTTTCAACCAACTTTTCACTAAAAAGGGTCCGGTCCTATAAAAACGAAAACCACTAGACCTCGGAGCCGCTCACCAGAGACTTGCGGCCCTTCTGCCATCCAGCATGTGCCTAGCTTCCACACTGTCCTCTGCACAGCCCGGCTCTCTGTCTCCAGCCACGTGGCGTCACAGCAGGGGCTTGTGGGTTAAAGCCACTGTGACTGCACAGTCCCCGTGGAGGGTGTGGGGCAAAGGGGCAGAATGATCACGACCAACCCCAGGGTCTGCGACCCCGGCCCACCAGGCAGCCCTGCCTCTGCATGTGGGGCTACTCAGGTTTCCCCAGAAGCCATCTGTGTAAAAGGACCGTGATGGGCTCGCTGCGGGGACGGCTATGGTCTCGAGAGGCAGCGGGCAGGTCTGCGTGGTGGAACTACTGTGTACTTGACTGTGGCAGTGGTTACATGACTGTGCACTTGTGACAAAATGTGCAGAATGCACATAAAACTGGTGAAATCGCATGAGGATGCTGGAGGTCACCAGGCCAACTTCCTGGCCGTGACCCTGTACTGCAGGGAGGGGGGATGCTCCGTGAGGGAACTGGGTGAAGGGCTCACAGAGTCTCTCCGTATCATTTCTTACAATTGCATGTAAATCTACAGTTATGTCCAAATAAAAAGTTTTGTAAAAGGGTCCCGTGCAGTGGCTCATACCTGTAATGCCGGCTACTCGGGAGGCTGAGGAGGGGGGATCACTTGAGCCCCGGAGGTCCAGGCTACGGTCAGCCATGATCACCGCACTGCACTCCAGCCTGGGTGACAGAGTGAGACCGTCTCAAAAAAAAGGTTAAGAATTTTTAAAATTCTTTTTATTTGCATAGGTTTTTGGGGAACATGTGGTGTTTGGTTATACGAATAAATTTTTCAGTGGTGATTTGTGGGATTTTGGTGCACCCATCACCCAAGCAGTATACCCTGAACCCAATCTGTAGTCTTTTATCTCTCACCCCTTCCCACCTTTTCTCCCTGAGTCCCCAAGGTCCATTGTGTCACTCTTATGCCCTTGCGTCTTCACATCTTAGCTCCCACTCACGAGTGAGAACACACGATGTTTGGTGTTCCATTCCTGAGTTACTTCACTTAGGATAACAGTCTCCAATCCCATCCAGGTCGCTGGGAATGCCATTAATTTTTTAAAAATCTCTAGGTTGCAAAGATTTCAATCAATGTATTCTGAATTAAAAATGTTTTCCAAAGAAGCCTCACTGGACAGCATCACGAGGAAGGTGTGTACCTCACAGTCCGTCCACCTTCCTTTCCACGGACAGGAAGAGGATTTACGTGGTCTGCCTCAAAAGTGATGATTCCTGATGGATCTGAGGACCCAGCCTGTCGTCCGCAGAATAACACCCCCACAAAGGTGTCATCTCAACCCTGAAGTGCAAGAACATGTCATTTTATATGCAAAGGGGGCTTTGCAGAGGTGATTACGTTGAGGGTTTTGAGACAGGAAGAGTCCCCGGGTTTGCTAGATGGGTCCTTGGCATTGCAAGGGCCCTGACACAAGTGAGGCAAAAGAGTCAGGGCAGGAGAGAGGCTGGCCCTGAAGACACGGGGAGCCGCCATGGGCCAAGGCACAAGGTGGCCTATGGAAGCCAGAGAAAGCAAGGAGATGTGTCCTCCTGGAGCCTCCGGAAGGAACCTGCCTGCCGATACCTCGATTTTAGCCCAGTGAGCCCCCTTTCAGACTTCTGACTTCCAGAGCCACGAAGAGTAAATGTGTGTTGTTTTCACATTGTGATCATTTGTTACAGCAGTGAAAGCCAGCCGGTACATTCACGTTACTCCATTATTTAAAAGACTCCTTCCTGACGCTTTGTAAGCGGTTCATGTTAGCAGTCAGAACACTGGGAATTATCTGAGGCCATTTTGCTTATAGTTCACTAGATGTTTTTTTTTTTTCCCTAGCCACAATTATGTCACTGTTTAAGCTAAAAAATAATTCTACCATGCTAATCCATATTCTAAGGCGGTAGATTAATCTTTGTAAATTTCACAGTAACAGGCAGGTCTCAGTGATGAAAGTCATTGAAATCAAATTATTTATGCAGATATATGAAGCCAAATGAATTTCATGACAGCAATACTAGAGCTAGAGACGTGGGCAGCGTGGGGCGTTCAGAAGCTCGGGAAGTGAGCCAGCATCACCACCCCCCTCGGGGATGGCGGGCGAGACTGGGGGAGGGGTCAGAGACACGCCCCAAACACATCATACGCCCTGGGCCAAGCTAGTGGTGGCTCCTACCTGCAGTGAGCACAGAAGGAGACCTTGTGTCCCCAAAAAAGGAAAAAAAAGTTAAGAAAAGAATATCTAGGTCACAAAGATTTCAAAATTCAACAAGAATCAATCAATATTTCTGACCTCTCCCCATCTAGATAAAGTCACCAGGTTGGGAGTAACTAATTGGACATCCCACGAGTGGAAATGCCAGGAGCAGAGCCACCGTGTTCTCAGCCCACGAGTGGAAATGCCCACAACAGAGCCGCAGTGTTCTCAGTCCATGAGTGGAAACACCAGGAGCAGAGCCGCCATGTTCTCAGTCCACTAGTGGAAATGCCCACAGCAGAGCCGCCGTGTTCTCAGTCCACGAGTGGAAACGCCAGGAGCAGAGCCGCCGTGTTCTCAGTCCACTAGTGGAAATGCCCACAGCAGAGCCGCCGTGTTCTCAGCCCACGAGTGGAAATGCCCACAGCAGAGCCGCCGTGTTCTCAGCCCACGAGTGGAAATGCCCACAGCAGAACCGCCGTGTTCTCAGCCCACGAGTGGAAATGCCCACAGCAGAGCCGCCGTGTTCTCAGTCCACGAGTGGAAATGCCTACAGCAGAGCCGCCGTGTTCTCAGCCCACGAGTGGAAACGCCAGGGCCACCGTGTTCTCAGTCCACGAGTAGAAATGCCCACAGCAGAGCCGCCGTGTTCTCAGTCCATCCATGCAGTCTCTCAGGGCTTCTTTTGGAGTTGAAAGTCATGATACTTGAACAAGACTTCCCAAAAAAGTCTGTGAAGTTGTCCTTTCCACCAGACTTGAAGGACTGGATGGGAGCATTCTACAGCTTTAGACATGTTCCATATTTTGCTGGAGACAGACAAAGAGTGGCAATGGTGTGCACAGGAGCATGTCTGCCCACCACGCCCGTCTCTAGCGACTGGGGAGCCACTTTTCCAGGCAGCAGAGGGTGCAGGGACTGGGGCCAGGACTCAGGATGAAATGAACATGGCCCCCACTCTCGGGGCCTCCTGCAGAGAGGAGACCACATGCCAGGGCGTGAAGCCCAAAGAAATTCACGATGGAAGATAGTTTGAGCTACAAGGGACGCAGCCACCCCCACAGATGGTCAGCAGGGACGAGGTCACCCCTCCCAGCGGCAGGATGGCCAGGGCCATCAGGGGACACCAGCAGGCCTTGGTCAGAGAAGGGGAGGTGGGGTCTAGAAAAATCCTTCCAGTGCAGGCCTGCCTGCTGGCACAGGGCCCACAAGTGACAAGAAACGACAAGGGGTCCATCGTGGCCAGAGGCGCGGCAGCCGGGTGCTGGAGAGGAAGCTGGAGCAGCCATGCAGAGCCCGCAGACCCCAACCAGGCCTTCCGAGGAGCGAGGGGCCGTGACGTGGATCCGCAAGCTCAAAGCTGCGCAGAAACAGGGCATCTCCACCCGACTTCCAAGTTTATTTGAATCTCCATTTCCCTTAATAAAAGGACAGTTCGGGGCTCCTCCAAATCAACCCTCATATAGCTTCCCCTTAGGCCCTGTCAGAAGGGAAGATCAGGCTTCAGACTGAGGCGGATGAAGGCAGCCCATAAATGGTGATCCAGAGACTGCTGTGCGCTGGAGAGACTGGGGCAGCAGGCGGGGCCCCCAGGGCGAGGCCCCCAGTGCGGGGCCCCCAGGGCAAGGCCAGCGCGGTGCCTGGGCCAGCAGTGGCTCCTATCACGCAGGTGGAGGGTTGGCAGTGGAGTGGAGCGCAGGGGAATTGCCAGATAGGAATCCACCTGCACCCCACGGGAGATGCAGCCCCCAGGAGAGGGCGGGAGATGAAGGAGGCAAGCCCTGCACTGTTCCCTCCCTCCCTCCCTCCCCACCGAGCCTAACAGGGCACTGAGGCCTTGGCTGTGACAGCTTCAGCCCAGACAGCTCAGCCTCTAGGGTGAAGAGGGGAGCAGAGAATCCTCGGGCCTGAATGGACAGTGGTCAGACTGGTGGCTGCCCGGGGGGCTCCTCGGGCCTGAATGGACAGTGGTCAGACTGGTGGCTGCCCGGGGGGCTCCTCGCTGGCAGTGGAGGCACACGGCCCACAGGTGCCATCTGTCACTTGCACCCGAAGGACTGCCTAGGAAGTGAGTGTGCGCAGCAGAGACCTGCGCGGCCAGAGGAAGCCCCGAGAGGCCAGTGAGGACATCCTGCAGAGGGGGAATCGTGAGGAGGGCGCTTCCTGCCCAGGGCTCCGGCAGCGCTCAGAGGGCGACGTGGGAGGCGCGTGTGTTTTAGCCGAGTCCTCTTCACGGGGCTGGTGAGGAAGGGATTCCCCCCACCAAGGCTCGAGGGATGGCCAGACACAGGGAGCCCAGCACAGGACACACGAGGGGGCAGCAGTTTCTCAGTCCCACAGGCTCACCACCCAGGGGAGGAAAGCTCAGGCCACCCGGGGTTGTGGGGAGGACACTCTCGGGGCAGAATGTGCCTCGGACTTCGGGGTGGATGGCTACGAACGAGAGGGTGGTACCTGCGGGCCCCCATAGGGGGATGGCTGAGCTGGTTTGAATCATTCTGCAGGCCAGCAGGGAGCAGAGACTTTGCTCAGGGATGACAGGGTGGGTTGTGTGGCTGAGGGCCCCTGTCCTCAGGAGCAGAGGGGAAGGGGAGCCAGCAGCGAAACCACCCCCACCCCATGTCCCCAGACACCAAGCAGCACACACAGCATCGGGGGCCTTCACTTACCCCGTTCCTCCTCGGTCTCTTCCTTCGGCAGCTTTCCTGCCTTTCCTAGACCACCTCCACCATCAGACCCCACCCACGGACCACCATCAGACCCCACCCAGGGACCACGTGCCAGGTTTCCAGTCCCGTTCCACAAGCTTCGGGGACACAGTGGATCGGACTGACCCGGCTGACCTAAAGCCCCTCCAGGGTAGCCTCCCTGCATTTTGCCCGCTTTCTCCAGACACATTCCAGGGGGAAAAGAAAAACAGAATGTTAATGACACCGGAAAAACAAAACCAAACCGTGATCAAACTGTGGGTGCTGTGATGACGTCAGCATGCCAAACATTAGGAAACAGTTGTGTTCTTCAGCCCGTGCTCGACATCAGAATTCAGGTTCATGGCGTGTGCGCGCACTCGGGGCTGGAATGCTCGCAGGAGGATTCCACCCGTGGCTCTGGGGCCCACACTCCCCCGCAGTCCAGTTACAAGGCAGCCAGCTGCGCCCCTTTGTACCCGCCGGGAATGCTGTTAGGACGCCTCCTCCAGCGCTGGCTCTGCCTGTGACTCTGACCCGGGAGACAGAGACCCCGAGCCCTCAGAGCTGGCGGGAACTTTCAACTATTCCGTTGGAACTTGCAGTCCCTTGAGTGTTTTAATCATTTGAAGCCCATGTCTTTTGAAATGTCTGACTGTATGAATGTGTTCTCTGAAAGAGTAAATTCTGTTTTCCAAATGGTAGAAAGTAGTCACAAAAACAGTTTAAGGTAAATAACTAAACAGTGCATTCCACTAATGAAGTCATTGAACTTAACGCCTTTTCGGTTCCGTTTTTTAAATGATTAGGGATTTTTTTATCAGTGGGAAAACATGAATGATGCCTCAGAGCCCGCCAGCCCTCCGTCGGCTTCCCAGGCTGAGTCAGCTCGGTGTTCCAGTGCTCTCCCCAGCTGACCGGCCCCTCAAACAAGTAAGAACAGATCTGATCCTAAAGCAAACGCAAAGCATTGATCTCGGAGCTGGTGGAACGGAGGGTTTTCTTAGAGATGTTTCTTTGCTGATGGCCAGTTTGTCAGCCAAGTTGCTCCCAAATCAAAATGTCCACTGACTCAGAGGTGAGCTTGGCCGGGAAGCTGGACCCGCTGAGGGCATCACCAGGCTCTGCTGCAGCCTCTCCCGATGGCTCTGCAGACAGGGCTCCCGGCCCCCGCCTGTGCCAGCCTCCACGGCGTGTTCTGGGGACATCTGTTGCCCTCCCAGCATGGCGGCCCAGCTCCAGGAATGGCAGCCCAGCTCAAGGAATGTACGGGTGCGGCTGCCTTTTCCCACTCACTGGGTGTCCACGATGCTGGAGGCACGGCTCTAAGGAGCAGGCCCCGATGCCCTATGTGCACCGCCCCTCCTACCCCTGCTCCTCCACCAGAGCGGGAGGGAAGGGCAACCTCTCCCCTGCATTCACGTGCCAGACACATGAGCTCCCAGGCCCATGGGTTTCCTCAGCTGCAGCGGGAGGAGACAGACTCCCCCAAAACACAGGCTTCTTCCCCCCTCTCGTGTTCCTTCTACAGACGCAAGTTCTGCTTACTAACAAGTAAACTTCCCATCAGTTCCACTCCTGCGTGACTTACAAAAGTGTTTCCACAGCAGTAGCTGAATTCTGCCTACTCCAGGAATATGTGTTTGCATTTAAGCTGTAACCAGGGCCGGAGTGTGGAAATGCACTTGGAGGTGAGTGATGAAGTCGGGGAGGTATTTAGCCTAAAATTACCTACAATGCTTATTGCCTTTCATCAAAATCCTATGTGACATGTCTGCACAAAAGCCACACACAGATGTGTATGCAGCCTTTTTCATGACTGCCAAAGCTTGGCAGCAAATGAGATGTCCTTCAGTAAGTGAACCGATAAATGGACTTGGTAGATCCAAATATTGGAAAATTACTCCACACTAACAATGAGCTATCTGCCTGTGGCTCACACCTGTAATTCCAACACTTTGGGAGGCTGAGGCAGGAGGATTGCTTGAGCCCAGGAGTTCGAGACCAGCCTGGACAACATAGTGAGACCCCACCTCTAACCAAAAAAAAAAAAAAATCCGCCGGGCGTGATGGCGTACACCTGTAGTCCCAGCTACATGGGAGACTGAGGTGGGAGGATCATTCGAGGCTGCAGTGAGCTATGGTTGTGCCACTGCACTCTGGCCTGGGCGACAGAGCAAGATCCTGTCTCTAAAAACAAGTAAATAAATAAATGAGATATCAAGCTATGAAAATGCATGGAGGAGCCTTAAATGCATACTACTAAGCAAAAGAAGCTGATCTGAAAGGGCTACAGACTAGGATTTCAATGCCATGACATTCTCGAAAAGGCAACATCACGGCAATAAACACAAAAGATCAGTGGGTTCCAGGAGCTGAGCGGAGAGAGGGATGGTGGTTGGAGCACAGAGGATTTGGGGGCCACAGACACTGCGCTGTGCAGTGGACACATCTGTCTACCGCCACGGAACGCCCAATGGCAAGAGTGGACCCCACTGTGAGCTGTGGACTGGGGTGAGGCTGGGTCAATGTGGGTTCATAGTTACAGCCCCCTGCGGTTGGGGATGTTGACGAGGCCAGGCTGTGCATCTGCGCGGCAGGACCTGTGTAGGAAATCGCTGTGCCTGCCTCTCAGTTTCACCGTGAACCTTAAACTGCCCTAAAAATAAAGTCCATGTAGACAATAATCCCATCGGGGAGGTCAGGGGATCGCTGTGATGATGTCCCACCCCTTCGCCTGGCGGCTCCTGGTGCACAAGCATCACCCGGGAACTCACAGCCACAAACCCACGTGAGCCCGGAGCGTGGAATTATTTTATTTTCCTACCTTAAGTTACGTCCGGCTCAGAGCCCCACCGTATCAGGCTGGCTGAAGAGCCAACCTTAGCCATTATCAGGGATCCCCCATCTGCTGTCCACAAATGAGAGTGGATGGAGACGCCCACCCAGCCTCCTCCCAGTGGGTGCCCCAGAAAGGCCCACTGTCAGAGCGTGAATGGCCCTTGGGAAGCCTGTGGCTCTGGGATGCCACGCCAGCCCTGCCCCAGCTTCCCCTTGCCCCGTGGAAGGTGGCGGCCGTGGCTCAGGTTGATCACACACCCATCCTCGCCTTCTCCGAGGTGCCGAAGGCTCCAAGTGTCTGGTGAGCAAGCAAGCGGCTTCAGGGTAGGTGCGGCCTCCTTGGAGAATGGTCTGCCAGTTTCCTGTAAGGAGAAACACACACTTAGCACACGGCCCAGCAACCCACTCCTGGGGATTCCCTCTGGGGAAGTGAGGACCAGTGTTCCCAGGAAACTGCACGGGGGCTCACAGCTGCGCAGCTCATGACGGCCAAAGAGGAAGCAACCCAAAGCCCCTCCCAGGTGAGCGGACGCACAAACCGAGGTGCCTCTGAGTGAGGATGCCACTGGCAATCAAAGGGACCCTCTGTAGACGTGCGTCACCTCGGATGGACCTGGAGGCCGGTGCGTGGAGGGAGACCCTGCAGGGCGTGGGTTACTCGACATTCTCAAAAACACGGAGTTGTAGTGTAGAGAGCACGGTGGTGTGTCCTACACGGGCTCAGGACAGGGTGAGTTGGGTTTTTCGAGGCTTTTTGAAGAAGGGGGGTTTGTGCTGTATCCCGAATCTACACAGGTGCCAACATTCAAAGAAGTATCCACCAAGAAGCAAAGGCCAATTTTGCTGTCTGCCGATTTCAAGTATAAAATGTTAAAAAAGCAACTAGAGACCTTTTACATTTTGCCAACAAAACATAAAGCTTTTTTTAGAAAAAGCAACTTGTAATAAAAGATTAAGGAAGAGAATGTCCCATGCCCAAGACAGCTGCCATGGGGTCAATCCCGCTCCGTTCCCTCTCACAGCTGCAGACGACCTTACGCCTCCCCAGGCCCCACACAGCCTCCTCCAGCCCACGGGGGAGGGGCCCCACATCAGCCCTTCTCAGGAGAGGGCCTGGGCTTCAGGCCACCTGGCCCCTGTTCCCACCGCAGGCCCGACACCCCTCATCCACCAGGCACACTTCCTTTCTGACCCATCCTGGAGTCCCCAGAGGACGCCCAGCCCTACCAGCCACACAGACCAGACTCACTTTCTCACGGACAAACCTCGAATCTTCCTGCGCAGCACGCGGCTGTCTTAACAAACAGCACCACAAGACCACGTGTCTCTGTTAGGTGGGAATCATTCTGCAGGGAAGATTCCCATCAGAAAAGCTGCAACCTCTGGCAAACATGAATTGTTCATAGAAACTGGGACCACAGCCATCCCAACATCCCGGCGGCAGAATTTGCAGCGGGTCAAACATCACCAACCTGAGTGCACGGCAGGAGGCGTGGGCCATGAGCGGTGCGTCTCCCACCCTCGGGCATGACACAGCCAGTGAAACGAGTGAGGCAGGGCCATAGACAGGTCTCAGACACAGTGCAGGCACTGAGCAAAAGAAGCCAGCTGTGGGATGGTTGGCATATAACTTCAGAAAAATGAGAAACAAATCTCTATGCTGTTTATGAATCCATACACATTATTTAAAGTGTTTTTACCCATGCATGGGAATAACTGGGTCCGAATTCCGAATGCTGAGCTCCTCTGCGGAGGGAGGGTGGGCTTCGTGGGGACTTCGGGGGTGCTGGCCAGTCTCCACCTTGACGCCCAGCCTCGGGCACGGAGGTGTCTGGTACATTATTCCCTTTTTTTTATTGCTTTAAATATTTCATAAGTTAAAAGAGCAAAGAGCAGAACAACATAAATAATACACTACCGTTTACCCATCTTAGCAAAAAGGATACCCACACACATCAATATATTTACAGGTGTCTGGAACTTGAGGCAGGCAGCGGGGCCCGTGAATGTGAATGAGGGCGGTCTCGCTGTTCACTGGCGCCCTCTGACGCTGCTCAGACGTGTGCTACTGCGGGCATACATTATATATTCCATATTTCAAAGATTTAGGTATTTTTAAAAGAAAATTCTA